CCCCCCCCCCCCCCCACTGGATCCGCCAATGAGTAATTAAGACAGAATCCATCAGGAAATTGAGTACTTTTAATTTTCAGTGGACAAGAACCTTGTACCAGAATAATATAAAGAATATTGCTTTCCTTCTTACATTTTTCAAGGGCTAAAGATGTAATTAGTCATCTGTAATAACACCAAAAATATTTCTCACGGGAGTCCGTGAAAATGAATGTCAAGTTTCACATAATTGTGAAAACACTGGTAAAATTCTTAAAAATTCGATGCGTAACATATCATTTTGTGAAATTTGACATTTATTTTCTCAGGCTTCCTAATAAATTTTCTTTGGTGTTATTACAGATGACTAATTACATTTTTAGCCCTTGAAAAATGTGAAAAATAATGCGATATTGTTTAAATTATTCTGGTACGAGGTTTTTGTGCACTGAAAAGTGAAATTACTCAATTTTCTGGTGGATTCCGTCTTAAGTTCCTTGTGTTGTATGTAATCTAGCCTACGTGTAAGCTCGCCATTTCGAGTGGCGAACGAAGCGAGCCAGGAGAGAACGTTTACGCGTGAGGGGAAGCCGCGAATTCGCCGGAAACGAGAGGGGGACTGGAACACCGCTGTTTCTGGGTTGGTTACTGGGGACGCGCTGCTTAGCAATTGGCCAATTTTTTTCCCTGTCCCTAGTAACAGCCAAGAAGTCTTTGCCAAAATTAACTCGGCCCAGTTTCCTTCTCGTTCGCGTGTCTTTTTGCGTGTCTCTTGCGCGTGAACTCTCGCGATATTCTCAAACTAGAGAGATGTTTCTAGGTTAACATGTACACAGATGACCTGTTCTTAGCGTTTTACGCTGTGGTTACAGAACTGCTTTTCTTGATAGCGAGTACAATAAGGACCACACCCGTCATGAGCAAGATTCCTCCAATCACAGGCAAGGCCACGAGCAAGCCGCAGGACAATTGTAGGCTTCCAAACAGCTACAAAATGGAAAAGAAAAGAAAAGAAAGAAGGATAGCATGTGATGGGCTTGGAATAGATTTCAGAAAAATTCTGAAATCGAAAACTAAGAGGTTAAATTATTATTTTTTTTTTGTCTGTAAGGTTATCTACCACATGCCACGAAAACTAAGCCTTAGTTTTCGAACTCACAATTTTTCCAAAAAAAAAAATTCCAGCTCAGCTAAGCACATTTAACCCCGTTAAAAATTGTGTTGTATTGTATTCAGTATTGTGTTTAATGTCTTCACATTATTTTAAGAAAAAAATGAAATGAATACACATTTTCTCTTCCAAATTGCTTGGCCTCGTGACGCTGATGTAAAGACAAATCTTTTAACCATGGTAACAAAATGTAAAAGTTCCTATACTTACTCATTTTACGAGTAAACAATACTTTGTACTAACACCTTTTTTGTTTTGCCACTTACCAAATAAAATACTTTAAACTGAATTTAATTTTTGTAGTGGTTTTTGAGGGTAATTATTGTATTGTTTTGCTAATACAGTAGTTATAAAAATAGTTGTTGTTTGTTAAGTGTTTACCTTAGAACGGAAAGTTTCAGCTGTTTCTTTATCAATGCCTCCCGACTTTTCTGACCACCAAATAGGAAAAAGTTTGTTCAGGAACGTGACATTGAGCTGTGGCTGGTAATCAGTGTATATTGATGTGTTCAGAATCATACCATTTAGTTGAAGGCGAAGTTTAAGATCCATTGCAGACCCTGATATTGGCTCTATACTTAGCTACAAGGAAAAACATGAGCATAAAATAGGTGAAAGTTTGCTAAAATAATGTTTCCCTATTATAAGGGATCATGAAACTTAAGATCCAACGGCGACCGCAACGAGAACGTCAATAAAGCAATAGGTCTGATAAACAAAACACTGACAACACTGCACTTGACAAACTAAGAGGGTTGGAGTAATAACGAAGAAGATTAAAACAACTCAAGTGAAGGGAATGGCACAGGTTAATTACCTGCCCCGAATATTTCAGTCCAATAAACCAGATATTTTTTGTGTAATTTACACACACACACAGACACACAAAATTACCACTAAAGATTCTGATACTTACAAATGATTCGTGCTTCTTTTCTTCTGGAGCTGGGAGATCCAATTCCTCATGTAACGAGCCGCCATGAAGAAACCTCGGAAGGCTGAAGAAAAGGGGTCCTCCCGAGACCCTACTCACGTCAAATACCCCTTTAGTAAACACAGTCACGTTATTAACATCAAGAGCAGACTTATCCAGGGTGTATCGGTGCATTGGAATGCCGTGTAGTTCCACGTCTTGGGTGTGGCTGACGTTGACAGCGAATGAAAACTCTGTTAGGAACAGCTCGTATCTTGATGCTAGACGACTGTATCCTGTCTTACACGGTTTCAGACTCTTTTGACCTGGAAATTGTATGTAGTAGCCACGTACTTTTAACTGATCTTCGGTGGCGTTCGGGTAAAGACTTGGATCAATTTGTGTTTTACCATCAATAGCTGAAAACGAAAGGAGAGGACAACTCTTTTAAATATATATATATTTCCCGTTTTATTAGGACTTTCCTTTTTGAACTGCTGAGCTGCTTTTCAATGGACAAAAGAACATTTTATGAACAGAGATCGCTGATATTTCGATAGCTATTGTAAATATATAGCTGATTCATTAAAGGCTGCTTTGAGAATAATAATAATAAACAATTATTATTATTATTATTATTTGAGCATTGGGTATTTGGCATGGGCATACAGAACAATACAATGATTTGCCTGAATGACCACCAAACAATAATGTAGGAGCCACGTACTTTTAACTGTTCTTCCTAGTGCCCAATTCTAAATGCCAAAAGCAAATTTTATTGAATCAGCCATATAAGCCATCAAGATCTTTTTGTCGTCGCCGCTTGCGGTTAACGTCCTCCATAAAATGTCAAATTAGGCAATTTCACGTCGCAGACGATCAAAAACGGCAAAGAAACGTACAAAAAAGTGTGATACACGTGCAAAGTTGTTGTTTTGCCCTCTAAACCTATTCCTTTTTTTTGACGTTCTCGCTTTCATCTCCTCGTCGGATCGTAAAGTCCCTACTGTAATGAACTGTAAGTTTCTATGTCTCTAAACCCATTGTGGCAGTAACACTTTCAGTGGTGGTGGTGGTGGTGGTGGTGGTGATGGTGGTGGGAGAGACAGGGAGGTCTAAACTTCCTGCATTCCGTAACTAGCATTCCGGGCTCCCGCCCATTTCATTGACTTCCTCTTTGTAGGCCTTTTTCGATTGCGAAATAGTAAGCATTGTTGCTCGGTTTCCCTTGTATTTCTCCCGATTCTCACCCTTTTAGAACTATACCTCCCGCTTTCTCCCTTTCCTCTCCCGTCTCAGTCCCGTATCCCTCCCCCTATACTGCCGGTCTCCCACCCGTCCCTCTTTTCCCCCACCCTTTACCTGCGTAAGTGAAACGCTGCTCTGTTGATTCACACGTGTAGAAGGTCGAGTTTTTCCCACGAGCCTTCGCCTCTGTTTCGTTGTTATACGACGTTACGGGACCAGGTACTCGGATCACGCTTGGAAATGGTGGAGGAAGATGCAGCTTGTCCATTAAATATCCCAGTATTATTTCACTTTGGTTCCGTGTTGTCGTGAGACCATAATTATTGTTCTCCAAATATTGTAGAACAAACCTAGGTAGCGGTCCTGCGATGAATGCGGCAACAGCAGGTATGGCTGCTTGGTTATTTGTCGTGTTGTAACATGATGATGCGTGCGGACACAGAAAACTTTGAATCCATGGAGCAACAAGTAATTTTACATTCTGGTTTACATTAGGATCGGCATAAATTCCAAGATTAATAGCCAGTCCACAGTCTTTACTTAGAAACGGATTGTTTTTGTTTGTACACCGTGCGAGAAGGGCCGCATTTGTAAACGGTAAAAATGTCGAATCCGTGAGCGCTCCGTAAAGACCGCTCATTTCTTGAAGAGAGTAATTTCGTTTAAGATGTCCGAAGGTAGCATTTCGCAAGGGATCAGGATTAGAATTTATCCAAGAACCAAACGCAAGAGTTGCAGTGGAAGGGAATTCTAATTTATCGGTCTGGGACTTTCCCATCAAAAGCAATGTGTTGTTTCTGTTTGTTGTTTTACCATCCAAAGCGTGAAATACCAAGATCAGTATGAGTGGTATAAACGCCGTCCCAAAGTCCTTCGCCGATCCAACTTTTGCAATGAGCCCAAGGTAAGCAGCATTTAGCACGGTCAACTGTAAAGAAAAATAGCGACCATTCTTGGTTAATAATTAAAAATGTTTATATTTCAGGACCACAGAATTAGCCACATATAAAAACACAAGTTAAAGCTTGCTTAAAATCTTTGTAGAGGAATCTCTTAGATTTCAACATTTTCGTTTATGACTGGTTTTTATTTTTTCCTGGTTAAACCTCGTTTGATTTAAACGTAGCATACCTGGTCATTTTCGTTGCACTTTGGGCATTCTTTGTCTGTTAATGTTTTGTTGAATTTGGCCTTGTCAAAGGTCTTGCTTGTTACTCGATCGTTTTCAAATTTGACATCAACCTTCTCTGATTTTGTTGTGTAAATGTAAGGACCTTTTTCCTCGAGCTGGTAAATAAGCAGATATCTTAAACTTATAAAAATGTTAGTGAAAATAAAAATTAGTTAATTAATTAATAAATTACACATGGTTCATTTGATAATTTGGTTTTCCTCCCTTCCCTTCATTTTCAACCTTGTAACTAGTGTTCTCTCCTTCTCGTCGATACGGAGCGAGTAGGAGAGAAACTTGGAAACGAGTGTGCTTTATTCTTCCTATGAATAGTCGACGAGCGTGGGCAAGTCTATCAAAAAGATCAAAAACTGTTTTGAGAGCACCTATCTTATTAAAACGTTATAAACGTACACGACAAAATCTGACGGAAATAGTTGGGGGGGGGGGGGGGGGGGCCAGTATGTTTTATCATGGATGCGAAGGGGGAAGAGGGCGGGAGAAAAAAAAAAAAAAAAAATACATGTTTTGGTGGTTACTTAATTTAAAAAATAATAAAAAAGAAAAAAAAATAAGGGAGGGGGGGGGGGGGGGGGGGGGGGGGGGGGAGGGTCCAGTCTTGGTCTTGCGGAAACTGTTGTTGAATTGGCTTGTAGGAAGGGGAACACCGCAAAGCACACTACCGCCAAAATATCTTTGTGATAAATTAGATTCGTGTTTCTTTCATGTTTTATACTTCTACATGAGAAATTTCTGCATTTTGATTGGCTTAGAGCAGTGGTATTTCAACCTAATTTGAAATACCTACATGTGGAAATTAAAAAAAAATAGTAGTATAAACAAATAATAGCATGATTTGTACATGATATTTCAAAATTGTCTCAAATTTCACTCGCCCAACGGCTCATAAAATTACGTATAACAACTTGGAAATATCACTCGTGGTATTTGTGCCAAATATCACTACTAATCATGCTGTTACCTATACTTATCCTACTGTAACCGAACCTTTTAGTCTCCTGCTAACCGCGGGATGAGGTAGGGAACTAGGTAAGAAATAATCCCTCTGGCACCTTTCTTGCTAGCAGAGGTCTTTTTTCACGACAAGAGAAATATGATAGGAAAGAAAGAGACCTCTGCCGGCCTCCGACGCGTTCTTTCACGTAGCCCCCGACTAGATTTGTGGCCGAAACTTACTGGTTTTCAAAACCAGTTTCGTTTTCAAATGTGGAGTGCGCGAGCCCCGTAGAGACACACACGCCGGAAATTTCTGAGCCCACAGTTATTATCGCGCAAGCCGGTTCCGTGAGTTTTGTGAAACTGTGAAAGGTTTGAACCCAGGAGTCATTTCAAAAGTAGGTTGAGTTCGATCGTCTGGGCGAACGTAGTCCTGAATAGGACTGTTGTTGTTTACAGTGCAGTGACTGACGTTTGGACAACCTGTGTGGTAGTCATCTTCAGAGTCAAAGTGAGTTGTATCACGTCAGTTGATGGTATTATACTCTGGTTATTGATATGATTGGTCAATTGCGTCGCGATGTTATTAGTCGTCTGTCAGTTAAGCCGTGATGTTTTTGGCTATGAAGACTCGTAATCAGTAATTGGTGCGTTTCGATCCGTCTATTGTCACAGTTAAACAGTCGTCTATTGTTAGTCAAATTGTCAGTTCTCCAGTCGTTCTGTCGTAGTTAGTTTTGCTTGATCTCGTAAATAAGTCGTTGGTACGGCGCTGGTTACTGTTGGCTACGATTCAGTGGCGTTTGTTCTAAGTTAGTAAACAAGCTTTCTAAAGTAAGACTTTGAGAGTAGTCTGTAGAATACGTTATACATGTCGCAGAGTCCCAGTCAATTTGATGTTTCGTCTGTAAATGGTGCTCAGCAATGTGATTGTTGACGTCACCATTTCTTGTCGCTCGTTTGTGTTCGGTCAGTCGCGTGCTTAGGTTTCTGCCGGTTTCATCAATGTGAGAAGCCTGGAAGTCGCAGCATTTGATCAATAACTAGAGTATAATACCATCAACTGACGTGATACAACTTACTTTGACTCTGAAGATGACTACCGCAGAGGTTTTCGAAACGTCAGTCACTGTCGACAACAACAGTCCTATTCAGGACTACGTTCACCCGGACGATCAAACTCAACCTACTTCTGTACGTTTTGTCGCACGTGACTAAAATAGTACTGGTTGTCAAGGAAACGCCAGTGCATGGGTCATAGAAAACGCATGGGAGGCTGGCAGAGGTCTCTCTCTTTCCTCTCCATCTTTTCTTGCCGTGAGAGACTTCTGCTAGCAGGGAATCTGGAACCCACCCTGGGTAGATAAACCTTAACAGTGCCAGGAATTCATAACCGGGAGCGAGAAACTTCCATGCGCTCTTGTCACGGTATTTTCACGGACCAGTTTATTTTTAGAACGGTTTTGGCGCGAATTTTGAATATCGTTTAAATTCCACAAGACAGTCAGCAAAACCTACAGACCAAAAAATGATATTTTTTGCCTTTTAATAACGTTTAGTTTTCCTTTTTGATATCTTACACTACGAATGCGCTCATAGACATGGTGGAGATTCTATTTTTGCAAGGAAAAGTGCCCTAAAATGTGTCTAAAAATAAACTGGTCGGTAAAAACGGCGTGACAAAGGCCTAGTATGGGAGTTGCTCGCACCCAGTTATGGGCTCCTGACAGTGCTCGTTAGAAATGCAGCATATATAGCTCCACTGGCAATTGTCTCATTTCACTCATAACAATTACGTCCACTTTACCTTTGGTTTTTCTTGTCTGTAGAGAAATCCATCTTTGTTTGTAATGTTCCAGATGTAGACTCTGTTCGTAAAGTAAGTGGGCCCTTTCTGGAAATAAAAAATAGTAATTGTCATCAATCAAAATTAGTTGTGTTTATCACACCTTTTCCAGCTCGCAAGGCCTTCGTAATGATGTCGACTCTCCCTCCTTCCCCTCCCCTCCCCTGCATACATTTTAACAATCAGTTGGATTATATTTCCTCAAGATACATTAGAGTAGTGGTCACTAGACTGTAAATTTAAGAGTCAATCAAACCTCTTCTTAAACTTATAATTCATAAAAGAAAACAAAAGAAGTCGTTACCTTAAAGGAAAACTGGACATCGGATAAATATAATTACCATAAAATTTTGCCAACTTCAGATTTGAATTTTATTAAAAAATCCTTGCTTCTTTGAGAAGCTGTGTCAGACACTCGATGCAATATTTCATTAGATATCTAGGCAACTTGAAGACGGTTTAAGAAATACCTGACTGTGCCTCGTTTTTCCGAGCCAGGTCGGAAAGCTGTTTTGTGTTTGTCGTGTTTACATTCAAGATTAAAGTTTCAAAAATTTTGACAATAGACCTATTTGGCTGACTTAATGTTGTACCCAATTCAAACCCTTTGGGAAAAACCGTTTTGTTTCAGGAATTTCCATATCATTTAAGTGTGAATGCCACATTATAATTCAAATACAATACACAAAGAATCTTAACCCCGGCAGATTTGAATTGAGTACAACACTGAGTTAGCCGAATAGGTCTATGATACAATGGAACTATCAGTTTTACAAAGCAAAATTCAGTGGTTATAATCTGCCTTCAGGCAGGAAACGTTTCCGGGCCTATCGAGAAAGGGGGCCCTGGAAACTATACAAAAATCCCCCGAATGTGGGTGAATAGTGATCACCAAGGCGTGGAGCGCCGAGGTACATGTACTTGAACATACTGAGCCTAAATTGCCGATAAGTACCCCAAAATACAAGAACCTATTTTGCCAGATCTCAAATAAAGTCTATTATTATTATTATTATTATTATTATTATTATTATTATTATTATTATTATCATTATTATTATTATTATTTGCGGGCGTGTACTGTATCACATACATTTTACTCACCCATCGTTCATACCCGGCGCTGTCCTTACTGTTTACGCACGTCGTTTTCTCTACTTCTTTAAACGCAATACTTGGTAACAACAGTCCTATGATGATGCCTATGGCTATTAATACAATGCCAATGACAAGCAAAGCGATGCCAACCACCTTTTTATTACACATATTATGAACTGGCCCAACTGCAGTACTTCTGAAACCAAAGTAAAAATATACCAGTGTTGCACTAAACAGACAATACCCATACAAATATTTAGAATAATTTAAAATTATTGAATGAATGAGGGTGAGTAGGATGTGAAGAATTATGCAGATCGAGGAGGATGTTATCTATCGAGGCTGAACATCCTCCGAGATCTGCATCATTTTTCACATCGTACAAAAGCAGAATTCAATACTTGTTTTATTATTCATTCAAAATATTTCTACGTTCTTAACATGCCCACCTCTTCGTAGACTTTTTTCAAAAGTTAAGCCTATTTCTCGGCACAGTTTAGGAAGTAAACAGGTGTTTTACCGTGCAGATACTATTCAAAAAATAGATAACATTCATCGAGCAATATGTTTTGCGTAATCTTGCATTTCTTCCATTCAGTCTAAGTCAGAAGTTCAGCTACAGGTTGTATTTCGGGACCGGGGTCAGGAATGGAATTGATTGGCAAATTTCGATAAGGCTGTCCGCCTGTCCCAACCAAGGAAAACTGGTAGACTAATCAGTTGGACCGAATTAATTCCCGGCGTTCAATTTTGGACCAAACATTGCGTGCATTTTGCGCTGGATATTGAACAGCAAAAATGGATTAGATATTGTTTCAAATTTGCTTGGGGCAAATAAAATGCAGATTTATGCAAACATGGGATGATATGTGTGACAGAAGAGGTCAATACTGTACTTACTGCACCGTCATTTAAACCATGTAGTGTTAATTAGGTTGCTAATGTGGTATTTACAGTCTTTTTACAGTCCAGCTAGAAAATTGCATTCACGTCTAGATTTAAGGGCGACTCAGAATGGTATTGACTTTGTATTTGTTTTCAAATTACACTCTTAAAATATATTTACGGAGACAACCGCATAATTTCTTTACACGGAAGTCTCTGCACATTGAAACATTAAACGTGCGTTAGTACCGATTCTAATTGCGTTAAGCGACATTTCATGCAAAACAGTTCACTGAAGCTCATTCACTATTCAGTTTACTAAAAAAAGGTACGTTAAACGCTTCCTTTTGATGTTCTTATTATATATTTTTGAGATCCGCATGCTATTAACGAAAAGCCAGTATAAGTGGCTTTAGGCTATAAACACGCGCTTGCTATTGTCAACCGCCACAAAACACACGTTTACACGTCAACGCCACAAACATGCGTTTACGAATTCTGCCAACATGCATGTGAGCGATCATATTTTTGTACCAAATCGGCGAATAGAATTCTTCAGAGTTCAAAAACGAACTCGTGCGGACTACTGAAGACTCCGGCGGTCTCCACACTTGTGTTCATGCGAACCAACTGAATTAAAAGTGGAATTGTTTGTTACTTTCATTTTATAACACCTATTTCACCTGCCAAAGAAGGATATTTGAAACTCATTATTTTCGAATTTAAATTGTGGACTCGGGGAAAATAAATTTGAACGGACCACTAAGAAGTGGCATTACTATAACATGACTGCTACTTCTAGAACTAGTAGGAATACTGAAACCACTTTTGCACATTGACTAATATCAGAGAAAGAAGATGATTTCATCAAGCGCAATGTTTCTCGTTGTCATAGCGATTGCCATTAAAATCAATTAAATTTAACTTCTCGCCGAATCGGACTAAAAAAACTATTTGGTAAAGTTGCTGTTAAAATATCTGAGGATTATCTCAGAAAATTTCTGAAGTAAAATACAGTCCTATTATCAGTGCTTCTTTAGGCTTATATTAGCTTACTTTTATGCCAGATGTGTCTGAAAAAAAGCACATCTGCCCAATTCATTGTTAAGGAGACATTCTGTTTTTTTTTTGGTGGCAGAAATGAGGTTGATTTGAGAAGAAAATAATTAGGGTAGAAAAGGTATACACATAAACCAGTTATTTAAATTAGTCGGCAAATGGGATCAGAGGGACCTTGTTTCGGTGATGGACTTATTTTTCCCTTCAAATTTCCATTATCAACAATCCCCAAATCCAAAATTGTAAAATTTTCTATTGTTTTAAACATCTTCCTCCCCCAATTTTTATTCCCTGATTGAAGGAAAGCTTGGCTAGATTTGAAAAAAAAAGGGCAGAAATAAAAGTTAAACAAGGTTGAATCGACCAGAATCTTCACTTAAGCATAAAGCATGAGATTTGTAACTTTTGGTAATTTCTAAGCTGTTAACATACCAACTACGTCTAAATCTTTCTCTTATTACTAATACCATTTTCATCAACCGAAAAGGGGTGTATTAAAAAAATACTATATAAGAGTTGTCTTATTCCGTTGCGGAAGTTGCTGACAACTTATCGAAATAAATTGTATAAAATCTACTTGTATTATAATACAGTGAATCTGATCACACAGTAAATTCGTTCTTACCTTCCCGGCAGAGAGTTCGTAGGCGTTCCTCTGTCCTGTTTAGGCTGTCCGTTAAACTAAATTAAAATTTCTGTCACTCGTCTGGTGTGTCCACTGTTACCATGGTTTTTGAAGCAAACATTAAGATGTTTGTTTTACGCTATGTTCTTTGAAAAGAGGGCTTCCGCTATTAGTAGTGAGCATTCAAATCTTAAATCATTTCTGTCCTTGAACTTATCAGTGTCCGTTATTTCATTAAAATTTCGCAGATTTTTTGAAATGAAAAAAAAAAAAAAAAATTTGTTGGAAACCAGAAACCGCTGAATGCCTAGGTCGATAGCTACAGTGAGTGGTTTCAAGCTTCTCTTTGAATGAAAATCATATTTGAAAAAAAAAATATTGTTTCTTTCATTCGTAGGTTTCTGTGACAGCGATAAAAAGAAAAATTGCTTGAATTTGGCAGCCTTTCTTTAAAACCCGCCACTTTTAATTAGAGACTGACGTTTACAAGTTAAAGAGTGGTTTCAGTAAGGAAACGAATTACGCCTTCTGAATGCAACGTGGAAATTGCTTAGCTCGTCAAAACACTTAGCTGCGAAAGCGCGAAAGCTACATAATAAATTAAAGCTTTTTTCTTTTTGAAATGAATTTCTTTATCCATTTAAAGGTAGAAAAAGTCGTTTCGCTCCACAGGAAATTATATTTACATTAGATATGGCCTCTTTCTCCGTCTTACTCAATATTGCAATACTTTATACACTCTGTTGCAGAACGATTTACAAACAAAAAAATGGAGTGGAAATAAACTTTGGAAGGTATGAGTAACAGCTACGATTTGGCACAACGAATTTTACAAAACTTGACTGACCGTGAAATCCTCCCGCTTTCACCCTGTGCAGCCTGAGAGCTTGAAAATAATCGCTGTGAAACAAAAAAGGTAAGCCAGAAATTAATACATTTAGCATTAATTATACTTAACGGACGAAATTCCATTTTTCCCAAACGCTAGCTAGCGAGCATCTTTCTAGTAAAGCATCGAAATTCGGTTACCTTTAGTGGGTACTAAAAGTGCTTTACCGGTTTAGTTCGAATGGCGTCCATGATCGTAAGATGATTTAATATTGCAAAACTGCAGTGATAACCCTTATTTATTCACCTGCTCGTTTGACAGATAAATTAAAAACAACTGATGCGCACTCGTCTGTGTTCCAACAATAGTCTTTTTACATGGCTCACGCTTAGCCTTACCCAGTTCAGCTGGCTGTTCAAGAAGAATTTAAATGCAAGCTATTTTTCTTAAAACGATCTATATCCTATTGTCTCGCTGTCAGATGAACACCTTTTACGGAAACTTTTTTAAAACCAGGGCTATTCAGTTACCGCTGGAGGTATCGTTTTAACATAAATTACCACTTTCTATTTCTTGTTTCAAGGTGGAGCAGAGGAAATGGGACTGAATGGATCAAACAACAGAGTCAAATTTGGCTAAAATAATAAGTCGACACTGATATGTTGATGTGTTATTGTTTATAAAACATATGCCGTTTACTGCAATTCAAGCAAGACGTGGTTCATTATTTGATAAATATTCGTGAATAGTTCCTTTCTATTTCGAGAGCATTTTCACTGTAAAGAATTATAGCCAACAGACCAAGAGATCAGAATCTTTTCACTGAAACCAAAAGCATTATGGCATTATCTTTCCAATTTTTTCATTTATTGCGCAGCAAAACCGCAACAACGAAGTCTGACTTAGGCCGCAGTTGAACGGAAGCTCAGAAGCGGTCTCCCTGAATCCGCTTGTAAGGTTTTGCCTTCTTTAAAGAACATAAATGGCATTTTAGTCCGCTGAGTTGTAAGCCTCGACGCTGCTAAGAGTAAACAATGTTTAGATGCGAGCGTTAGCAAAATTCAAAATGTTTTAGAACACTGCTTTCAAACACTGTTTAAACTCTGTTTTACTAACTGATCCATGTCTCAGCAAGGTCACGTACCGACAACTCACCAAGAATCACCGAGACGCAAGTTTTTGGCATTTAGGTCATTACCACGACACGAGCTGAGGCGGTTTAAATTTGTATACACAGCACAAACTCTTGTGTTTTGGGTTGTTCACACAAGAATTATATTTATTCGTTTACAAATCTATCCACTATGACGACCGTTTACATGTAAGAAAGTCGGAAAAAATGCACGTTATAACTTGAAGATTGTTAACTTTAATGGACTCGACCTCGGTATATGGGGCGAGTTGTCCCACTCAAGAAGTCGCTATCAATTTTGTTTTCAAATGATCACAAAAGTTAACAATCTCCTGTACTCATTTAGCTGATTATCCCGTGTGCAAAACCGCTGTATTTAATGTAAAAATAAAAATATATGCTAAGAGGGTGTCTGAAATATAACAAAACCACCCAACATTTGTTTGGAATGAATTATTGAAAGCAAAACAAACGTAAGTTAAACCGCTTTCTCATAATATAAAAGTGGTTTTAGTGTATTTCCACTTTTGAACAGGGGCGTAGCTACCTGTACGCAAATACGCAATTGCGTACCTGAAAATAATAATAAAAAATAATAAATAAATATATAAAATAAAAAAATAAATAAAAAATATATT